ATATAACATAAATAGACTATATTCTGCATCAGTCTGAAATCCAAATAATAAAAGTGAAAATAACCTTTTTGTTGCTTATTATTGTTTTAAAAACTACACGAAAGTGTTTGAGTCTATCTTTACGCTCTGGGAATGTAAAATTTCTTTCGTAAGTATTGGGCCAATGAAATTATAAATTAATTATAGATTATATATATATTTAGATTTTTATAAAAAAAACTAAGGTGAACATCTGTCACTATAGCAACAATTGATGCTTTTCATTTTTTGTTACGATTTTTTTTCCACCCACCTYAAGAAAGAAGTTTCACTTCAAAAATTTGATATAACAACATATTACAAGTTAAACATTTAAAGTATTTTTATACACATACATTTTAATATTCACACTATTAAAAAGTATCATTATACAATGCAGGTTTTCAAAGAACTAATCAATTAGATAAATCATTAATTATAGTTTATAGCATTTTTACAATCTCACTATTTTGGATTGGAATGATATATCCAGTTATCAACATATTATAAATAGTTAAATTTAAACAAAAACATTTGTATGATAAACATATTATAGTTAAAATTTAGATACATAATTCATGAACTAATACAGTATTACATAATAATTTCAGATTAGGTAACTGTGCATAATATTATATGGTAACTAATATAATAATATTATAACAAAATATAACAAATTTTAATACACTAAGTACAAACCCAACTATTGCTGAATCTAATAAAATATAGTTTGTTTTTAAATGTAATAAACAATAATTATGAATAATCATAAGCATTTTTTATCATTTGTTAATAATATTTTTTTAAATATACAAAGTTGTTATTACAAGTTAACTTTAGTTTTCTAAACTATTTTTTAAATTCACCAAATATATAAAAAGTTTTAATATTTATTAACACAGAAATAAATGTTATTTAGAACTACATTTCAGGGTTTAAATAATTATTTAAATAGTTTAATTTAATAATTAAAGATTATCAACTGTGATTTAGAATCATTATCCAACTATTTTATTTTTACAACTATCCAAATTTCTGTCAGATTTTTACTTTTTTACACCTTTCTTCTCTTTAGTTAATTAAGCCATTGCGCATTAATTGTCCTGTAAGATTTTTTAACCATCAATATAATATAGTATACATTAATATTGCATATAAGTGTAAGTTTTTATAACAATTGTAAAATAATATAAAATGTWATRTGATAAATCTTTGTTATTTTAATATTATTTCCAGATTAAATTTGATGGCTATAAAATTTATACGAAACAATTAAATAGTCTCTGATATAATTGAATCAGAGTTAAAATATGTCACTAATATATTCAGAATAACATACAGATTAATAATAATGACTAGATGTGTAAAGAAAGGCACTATAATAATGTGAGCTTAAACTAATTATTATTTTGATTAAACAACAGCGTTTATTACTGCTTTGAGTCTTTTAGTAATATGACCCTGGACGTGTTTTTGTAAATGATCACGGCGGTAAAATGCCTTTCCACACTCTACACAGACATGTGCTTTTTCTCCAGAATGTACAATATAATGTCGAGCTAAATGTTCATTACGCTTGAAGGTCTTAGGACATGCAGCACAGGTGTATGGTCTCTGATCACTATGACTTAATTGATGTCTATCTAAATGCTCTTTTCGTTTTAATCCTGCTCCACATTCCATACATATAAATCTACGCTCTACCTAAACTTAAAATAATTATTAAAACATATTTAATTTAAATTTAAATTTGAATAATAACTTTTTACCTTGTGATTGGCTAAGTGATGTTCCAAAACTGTTTTATCTGTATATGCCATTAAACATTCAGAACAACAATACAACCGAGAACCATCAGGTGATGTAACTATTCTAACATCACCTAATCCTTGTCTTCTTTTCCCTTCTTGTGGAGGAGATAACTATTAAAAAAATKTTAAATATTTAAACTGATCACTAAATTTAATATGAAAATTATAAAAGCTTTAAAAGACACTTCTGGGTACCAAACAAAAGATTAAAATAAATTGCTTATTTTATTTTATTACCTTAAGAAATTCTCTCAGACTAGTCAGGTATTCAGCAACTTTATTACCAGACTGAACAGCAGCAAAACCTTCCCATTGACCAAGCCTTTCTTGCTCTTCTAATGTTAAAGGATCGGTCATAGTAGATACATCTACTGATATCCTTGCTTTAACTTCAAGAACCTGTGAGCGACTATAATTTTTATAAGAATTTTGTTTTGAAGGTAACTGTGGTTCCGTGTATCTATAATTGTCATAGAACTCATTTTTGTCATGATTTTTAAAAAAATCCACATTACCATTGAAATGAGTATCTAATTTCAATGTGTTTTGTAGATCTAAATGTCTTGGATCAAATATGTTACTTGATTGGTACCTAAAATATAATGTAATATATTTTAATATACCGAACTTTCAGACAAAAATTAAAATTCATTCAATTACCTGACATCATTAACCATTTGTGGAAAAACAATGCGGTCAACAATAGTTGGAGTTGTTTGGTRGTTCAAACGGGTTGAACAATTTTTATTTGTTAGATTAGAAAAATGATTTTGGTGCATTGTGTTTAGTGAAGGGATTTTATATTGATTCAGATAATTCATATTTGAAAAAAGTCATTGCGGTTTACAGATAAAGCTAATGTAAATTATTAAAATTCATAAAAATAAAAACTAACCATTTGAAGAAATGTCGATTCTAATACGAATTTGTTTTTTCATATTGTAATAATATAAGCTTTTAAATAGATATTAAAGGATTAATGAATATCATTAAAAAGTAAAAACTAATAGCAAAATACAAACATTATGAAAATTAACAATAAAAAATAACAAATCAATGCAAATAAATAATAATGATTAATGAAATCAAAAAATCTATCATATAATATAATTTTAGTTTCAAATTTTTCAACTTTTGTTTTAGTAACTATATTTAAAAATACAAATTATATTTGATATTTACCTGGAAAAAATTAGTAAAAACGATAATGGTTTAACAATTATAGTAGGCTAGCAATATTAATATACTGATAAGAGAAAAGCTTACAGCGGTAGACAGTGCATGTTGGGTTACCAATATCATACCCCTCAAAGCAAAATGGCATTTTTTTAAATTTGAATAATATTGTTTTCCGTATTAAAAAATGTGTAATTAGTTACTGCTATAAGAATTTAATGTTTTGTCGACAAATCAGCATTGTCTTGTAGAAATAATTAACATGAAGTTAAATAAGGATTACATTTCCATATAAAAGTATTTACGTTCGATAAGCACTTMTGACATTAGTAGGGTTTGATATGTAAACAGGGCTCCAGTTTAAAAAATATTTTTTATTTTTGTTTTTTAACATTCGGAATTTAAGTTTGGAAGATATCTAGTTTATCGCCCACGCGAATTGTTCAATTTTTTTTTCGGAAACTTATGTATTTCGACGAGTTTAGAACGATGGTGCAATGGTGAATTTTTACACATAATCAGTTTTCGACAAAATCAATTTTTTTTAATGTTTATAAAAAAATTTGCCTACCCAAAAAATCTTTAAAATTTAATACAAGGTTTATTATAAGTCTTACTTATCGTAGTAAAAAAAAAAATAAAAAATCGTTATAGTCACAATTTTTGTTTATAGGGATTTAAAGTTTAATTGTTTGCGAAATATGTCAAAACCGCAAAAATTTGTATGGAATTATGAAGTTAATTCATACAATTATTGTGATAAATATCTAAGGTTAAGAAACCCAACACAAGATTCTTCATAACTTTTTCTTCAAATAGGTAACTGTAAAAAAAACTCCAAAGTCAATATCGAAAACATTTTGAGAGCGTATAAAATTACATTTTGGATGCTGGCTTTGTTWTATAATATTATAATGTAATGTAGGTATTATGTTGTATAATGTATAGATTGTAAATGTTGAGCTATCATAGTTTTATACTAATAGCTAATAAAAAAAAAAAATTACATTTGAAATTATGCGCCTATAAAATATAATATATTTTAAACTGACAAATCATCTTCGTTCATAATTGTTTTTCGCATACAATGATACCTTTCATTGCATTCAAATTTAACACATTCATTATTGTGATCTACTCTTCATCTCTATACTGTACAGCAGAGCGTACCCACTAGCCCATTTTATTTTTGCACCATCGTTCAAAACTCGTTGAAATACATAGGTTTCCGAAAAAAAAAATAAAAAATTACGCGTGAGTGCTAAACTAGATTTATGACTTAATTTTTTATCTCACAATAAAAAACCGCATTTAGTTTTAATGATTTTAACTGCAAAAGTAATTTAAATTAATTAAAAGTTCAAACATTCAATCTTGATGAATATAACTCCAACATGAAAAACCATTCCGTATGGTCTACCTAACTGATATAATGTTAAATGTCAATGATAAAAATGTTCATATTTCTTTACAAAAATACTATGCATTATATATAATGCTTGAAAAACCATAAAAGTATAACTAGTATAAGATATAAATTTAAAGTAAATAATGAATAACTGATGGATTTTGATTAACATAAATCTGTCTGCAATTGTACAAATGTACAGTTATTGATAAATATCCAATTGTTAGGAATATTTTACCGAATGACATTAGGAAAAAAGTATAATAATCAGACACAGACACAAAAATAAAAACGTTTCATTGTAAAATCAATATATTATTCAGCGGAGCGCTCAGAATCTTAGATATTAATTAATTAGAGCACGAAGATGAAATCCATAGCCCTTGTACTTAAATATACTAAGAAAGTATAAGAATAAAATACAAATGCAAAAATACATTATGTCATTATGCATTTATGCGTCAATGGGACATACAGGGTATCCTGTGACTCGTGAGGATCTACCCATTGCGATATCTCCCGAAATAATGGTGACAGTGGCGTATTTTGGTTGATTTCTCGGGGGGTGTTAACATTTATTGAACCTCAAAAACAACATTTTTAGTTATTATTTACTAATGTAAAAAGACATTGAATTAATTTTTAACAAATTAATACGTTAGGAATTGACAAGAAGTTTTACATTAGATAAAAATAGTATACTATAAAATAAGTGACAACACTAATGTCCAATATATTAGGACTTTTTTTTAAATGTCGGGGGGTATCAAGACATGGAGGACATCCCCCCCCCACAAAATACGCCACTGAATGGTGATATCGAAATTCTGGTTTTGTAATAAGACTCACAGGGATAAAAACTATAATTATTTCATATTTTAATGTTTTGCTAAAAAAAATTTAAAATTATATTTTTTTATTTAATTATTTCAATTAAAGATGGCCATTTTGTTGAGTTTATTTTTCTGAAAATATTGACGTTTCAAAATTTTCATTAATTTCCTGATTTTTAATATCCTGATTTTTTTTAGTTTCCAGAAAAATTGCGAATTATTTAACACCATAATGCTATCAAACATGTGACCCGCCACGCCGCGCGCATTCCCATACAGCCGGCCGAATCTTTCCGTGTTCCTAATAGTTATAAATTTATTATCATACTTAATTTCTTCAAAACTAGAAAAAATATCAAAAATCAGGAAATTAATGAAAATAAAATGTTGAAACGTCAATATTTTCAGGAAAATAAACTCTACAAAATGCCTATCTTTATTTTTTTTGGAATTAATTAAATAAAAAAATATATTTATTAACTTTTTTACCCAAACATTAAAATAAATTTAAAAATGAAATTGAAAAACCAGAATTTTGATATCTCCATTATTTCGTTAGATATCGCAATGGGTAAATACTAGCGGGACACCTTGTATAAATATATATTTTATATTATAATATATTATTATATAAATAATATTTAAAAATATTATAGACAATTTTATTATAGTCTCAAAACTCAGTATTAAACCACAGAATAGATTCAATTTTAAACAATCTGTGATTAAACATTACATTATATTATATCGCTTATATTATGTCATAGTGACTATGTTCTATGCCAGCGTTTCCAAACCTTTTTTGCAATGGCGACCCATACATTTAATCTTTATAAAGTACGCAACCCCCCCCCCTCCTTAAAAAAAAAAGTATGCCGTAAATAAATAAGATTTTTACTATAATCCATTTTATCATTGAGTTTTTTATAAAATACAATACGAATACAATATACTGAATAATAATAACTTAATTAATGAATAAATAAAATAAATAATAAAAAAATTCAAAAAATTAGTAKAATAGAAAATTTAGTGTGAATTTTGATTTTGGACACTGCATAAAATTTCCCACTGGGGTACAATTTCAGATAAACTGATGCGCATGGCATGTGTGACATCTAATCTGTTTCTTTGTTTTGTTTTAATATTGGCCGTGGTAGAAAATCCTTTTTCGCAAATTTTTAATCATAAATTTAAACTTTTCATAGTCTCGATGTACCGCTCGTTGCTCAACAGCATATTGTGGATTATGAACAAACGACCGAGACCGATCGCATCGACAAATCACTAGTTGTCACTAGCGACACTAGCACATTTACMGATAAGATGAAAAAAATTCCATAATCGTAATAACTTTACGTCATTTATTCTACAATACTACCTAGTTATTWATACAATTTATCAATTTACGACTAAAATAACTGTAATCGTAACCGCAAGTCGCGACCCATCAAAAAAATGTAATAACCTAACCTAACCCATGGTTTGGGAAACGCTGTTCTATGCTATGACCGAACTAAAATTTTAGATTTACATTTAAACTTTAAAGAATAACTGCATTATTATTTATTTATGACTGAATTTTATGGTCACTACAACATAGGAGCGCTAGTGCGACAATTTCCTGCTATCTAATACTGATTACAGAGATTCATTTCGGAGGTCAATTTCTCAATTTAGATTCGTTGGTGTATCGTGGTAAGGGTAACGAATACCCGGTATGGATTTATTATCATAAATAAAAAAGTATTGATTTGAATCATTATGGGTAGACGACAGACGTCCTTCTGGGTGAGTGGGTGAGGCTGTGCCGCTGTGGGCTGTGGGTCGTAGTTGTCAGTTGACTTAATACATATATCTATCTTGGTATAGATATATTTATACATAGTTGATACATTTTTATGTGGGTGAATGATGAAGATATACATTGAGCATTCGCTACTGTTCAATARAAATCAATGCTTATAATGTTATAACTTCCAACTATTAGATGATAATACATTAAATACTTTAAATACTTTAGTGATTAGAGTTTGTGATTTTACTGAATAGTTCTTAGTATTTCATTAATATATTTTAATATTGTATCCAACCAATTTGTATTATTATCGTTACCTACTTAAGTTACCATTAGATATTTAGATAGTGTTGTATTAATTACTGTTTACTGAAATTTATGCCACAGTCCTTTATACTTTGGAAAGTACATTTAATATTATTAAAATCCATTAACTTAATAATTTTAAAAGTTTTTCGAGTATTAATTAAAAATGTGTTCAATATCAAATAAAATGTGGAAAAATACCATATGTATGTGGGAATTCAGCCGAATAAAAAATGTTCCCATGATCAGTCGACTATGTACAGCTGCAACTACTAACTCTGAACAGGATAATGATAAGTCATTGTCTAAGGAAAAGGCTCATGCATTAGTGATGAAATTGACAAATGAAGAAAGAGACAATTTGGCTTGGTGCCTAAATCATTACGAATCAGAAGAGACTAAAGCGGAATATCAAGGTTCAGTATCTTGTAAAGCTATCATGTTTTGGACTGTTTTGCATGAAATCTTTATACTTTCATCATACATAAATTTATCTTTTTTAGTAAAAAATGTTTAACATTATCTAACTATGTGCTGAAATTAAAAATAACTCGTCTATACTGATCTATAGGTCAATTGGCAGGATTCAGATGGCGTTCAAAGTTTGGGCGCCCCAGTAAAGTACCTGAACTAGGAGATGTAGATGCAACAGGCTCTTACTGTCCATTGCCAGAAGAATGGCTATTAAAAAAATACGGTACCTACCTACTTAGCTTTTATACTAAATACATATTATAATATTATTGCTAATTCATCACTTTAATACTAATATTTTTGTTTTAAATATTATTTATTTCTTACAATGGACAGAAGAAACCAATAGTAAGATAATTATCACTAAATATTAACCATTACACTTGTAAAAAAAAATTTTAAATAGTGTGATTATTATTACATTTATATTTTAATCCTGTTTAACATTTAATTTAAATTAGCGGAAACTGTACCAGAACCAACTAGAGCACAATTATTTAGAGGTATGTAATTAATTATTTAAAATGTATGTTATTTGATCAATTTTTTTCTTCTATAGTGGGATTGCAAAATGCTATTCCTTTCATTATGTTTGGATTTTTGGACAACTCGGTGATGTTAATATGTGTAAATAATTTTTAGTATATTAGTTCTACTATTATAAGTATGTAATATTTATGTGTGTATAGCTAAATTTCAATTTTTAGGGTGAATCAATTGAACGAACAGTTGGTGCTGTTATTACTATATCGACAATGGCTGCAGCTGCAATTGGTAATACTTTTTCTGATATTCTTGGAATTGGCTCTTCATATTATGTGGAACAATTGGTAATCAAACTTGGTTTAAAACCTCCAAATCTAACACCTATTCAATTGGATATGAATTGTAGTAGACRAGCTGCTAATTTAGTAAGGTTAAAAATATCTAAAACCAAATGTAATAACTGAGGAGTAAATAAGATTTTATTAAAATTTGTTGGTATTTTTGCTAAGAAATATTAACTATTTTCAAATTAAATTACAAGAAAACAATATTTTTTTAAAGTTTCTATGAATATTTATCATTTTTTGAGAATGAAATGTATACGTACCAGGCGCGGATTCAGGGGGGGGGGCTATGGGTGCTCGGGCACCCCCTGTCATCTAGCCACCAACAAAATAAATTTATGTTATAAATTAAATTATTTGTTATTTTTCAAAATAAAAATAATAATAATATCGGTGCTTTTCGTTATCACCGTCACATACGACAATAATAACTATTATTTTTAATTGTTTTCGAAGTATACTCGTATGTAACGACACGCGTCGACGGCGGAAAGCACCAATAACAATTATTATGGAAAAAAAGTTAACACTAATAAATCAAATATTAAATGGTAATATTTAAATAAATAGTAAGGTGCAACAACAATTTTTTTTTTTTTTTGAGCACCCCCTGTTAAATTTTTCTGGATTCGCGCCTGATACGTACTATGTCATAATCATTTGAAATAAAAAGTTATAACTTTCTCATTTATACTTTGGTTTTAGTATTTAATACTATTTGCCTAATTCTTAGTTTTAAATTGATATACATAAAGTCTTATTATCATTAGGGAAGAACACTTGGAGTCACTCTTGGGTGCTTTTTGGGAATGTTTCCATTGCTATTAAAAAATGATGAAGAATCTAAGGATGAAAAGTCTGAGGAGAAAGATGAATAATAAAAAATAAAAAATAAAAACTAACTTCCACTTGTTATAAATAGGTTTTATTCTGACTGATTTCTTTAAATTATTATAATATAGAACACACTATAGTGTAATCATTAAATGGCAATTATTATTAGCTAATRATAATATTAATAAATATTTATTTAGCAGTTTTGAAATTATTTACATAATATTGATAATTTAGTTGTTATATTCTTTTATCAGAGTGTTAAAAATTAATCTAATTTTAACATCTGTTAAATTTAATCATACTCCTATATTTCAAATTACTAAACTGTAATATCTGTAACAGTTATATATCTATTTTGCTATTATTTTTTAGTTGTTTTATATTTTATATCTAGTTAATTAATAGTTATTTATTTGATTATTTGTAGTTACTGCAATTTAATTATTATTATTTATAACTGTATTCTATGTTTATTGTGTATTTATACTGTTTTTTTTTACACAAAAAATTAAATTATAAAAATTGATTTCTTCAATGAGTATAGTTTTACTGAATAATAAAATAGACTAGAATAAACATATTTATGTATAATAAAAATCACATTTTCTTTAATAAACAATTAATTTAATATAATAACAATTCAATAAATAAAATAAAAAATAATTACTACAATTAGCTTAAGTTAACTGTAGAGCTATGATATTGCAAAAAATAGCCTTAAATAAAACATTTAAGTATTACTTAACAGAAAGGTGAGAAGTTTGAACAAAATTAATCAAAAAATTTATACAAGATGAGTGGTAGAGGTTTAACATGTATTCAGTAGAATCTRTACTGCAATTGCATTTGCATAAATAACATGGTATGGAATCCTTTGTTGAACCTAAAACCTAATTTTTTTGCTAGTTAAAATTTATTTTATATCAATATATAGATTATTGAATTTACCTCTATATTATTAGTTGATTTAAAGGTACAATTATTTAAGTATGTTTCCAACTTAGACAACACATCATTTAATCTTTCTTCTAAAGATGAACAATAACAATTTTTAAGAATTCGTTGACAAATTTGACTTATCAAATTCAATTCTAGAACATTTGAATCAAAATAATTTAATTGCTCGATTCTCAAGTAATACTACAATTAGTTATACATACGTGTCATGTAGTTAATCCCTTTATCGTGATTTATAACTTCCATAAGTACTTTCTCATCAGATATACTTGAAAATGTAGTGAAACCTTCTAGCAAAAACTCCAGACATTTATTTATGCATTGTACCTACACAAATATATTTTATAAATTAAAGATGGCAAAACAGATTAAAAAATATTAAGTTTTTCTTTTGTCAAAAAATTAACTGAACTTCATTCCATCAGCAAAAAATTATAAAGGAATTAATAATCACTTTAGTTGTATAAATGAAAAATACATACTTGTACATTTTTCCAATCCAATTCAATGTCAGGTTTATTGCTTAAAACTTCTTCAACACATAAGAAATCTCCAAATTCATCATCATAAACATCATTATTATCATTCTCTTTAATACTTTCAACAGGTTTTACTTCCAAAGAATCATTATGATTATTTTTATTTATGATATTTTCAACATTATCAGTTTCTGCTGCCAAAGCCCGAAATACTTCATATTTATCAAGAAAATCATCTTGGCTAGTTGTCACATTTTGCTGGTTTTCTACCAAACCTGAAACAATATCTGCTGATGTGTCATTTAACACTTCAGGAGTTTTATCAATAATCTTAGTGTTTTCTTTGAAAGATAATGTATCAAAAGCTGATTGGAAATCTGTAAACTCTTGATTATTTTTATTGTCAGTGGTTGTGAATTGAGCACTTTGGAAATCTGAAAACTCATCATCGAAAGTCTCAAAACTATCATTCACTGGAGTAAAGTCTAAAGATTTTGGTTCAGGATTAGTAGATAATGGGGACATAATTTTAGACATTTGATTTTTTGGTTCTATGAAAGTTACTGCTAAAGGGTCACATTCTTTAGATGGAATGATGTTACAATTTGGCTGTTGAAAGTTTTTGGTATAAATATTTTGATGTTCATTGTCAATTTTTGATATGCAACTTCYTTTGTTTGCTAGTTGTTGTGGCTTATGTTCAATATTTGATTTCACTGTTGATACATTATGTTTTTTCTCGATAATTGTGTAATTTAATTGTGGTATTATTGGTTTATGAATATGTTGCAACAATGACACATTAGACACTGAATAGCCATTCTAAAAAAAAAAAAAACTATCATTTATAAATTAAATAGTTTTTTATAWGTAGAAAATATTGAATTATATTTAATATTGGTATTTGATATACAGTGGAGTTCGCTTAGTAGGGATACCGTATAAAAGGGATAACCACCTTATAAGAGACAAATCGGCAGAGTCCCAAACGCATGTATTCATTTTAGGCAATTTAACTTCTTTTATTGGGGACAAACCATTGGTTATAAGGAACATAGTTTATTCTGTTCAAACCTGTTTTTTTATCTAATCTACTTCCAATACCTCTAATATATTTTATATAACAATTTTATGTCATACAATATGATATAATATTTTATGTATTTTTGTCAATCATTTTTATCATACTACTACATACATATTCCATGAAGATAATAGTTGTTTTCGAAATACAAAAAATTTATAGTAAATATATAAATTATAAATGTAGGTAGTCTTATGTAAATAGCATAATATTACTTCTTATTTTCCATATGCATGGTCAAACTGTGAATAAAAAATTTTCAGTTAATCGGGACAGTCAAATAGGGACAAATAGGTCACCGTCCAATGTGTCCCAATTAAGCAAATTCTACTGTATTGTCAATCAAAGAAATTTTAGATATTTGCCAAAATATAATATTATTTGATATTGGAGTTATGTGCTTCATTTTATGCTCCTCGTCCTCATCATGTATTATGGGTGGCAATTATCCACTAATGCTATAAAAGCATATGTGTGCAATTTACCTATACAGTAAAACCTCTCTATAGCGGACCCTCTATTAAACGGAATCTTCCTTATAATGGAAAACGTCAATAGTTCCAGTGCAAATAACATATGCAATTTCTACCTCTCTATGACAGAAAACTCTTTATAACGGAAAATTTTTTGGTCCCATGCAATTTCATTATAAAGGTTTTGCTGTATTAAATTCTTTAATATTACCTGAACCAGCGTAATTAAAGCCAGAATTATATAAAGTTCCTGTTGAGATAAYGATCCTTCAACACCAACATTAGCCATAGRCCATAATCTACCAAGTACATCAACAGATAGACCACTAGTCATCAATAACTGTGAAACTAAATCAGTATCACATGTTCTATCTCGTCTATCAGATTTCACATACTGCCAAATCTGCTCATACAATGGGTGCACGAAACCAGATTTTGGTATCATCCATTTTGGCAAATTCTGTAAAAATATAAAAATACACTCTTACTACAACATTGAACTATCGCATAAAACCCATATACAAACAGGCAATGGTCTCAATATCAAATTTCATAATAGGTTAATTCACTCTTATTTTTAAACTAGCGTTCTCTTAAGATAATTCCACACCAATTAACCATATTTCTTATTTATCTACGTCTTATAAATATTATATAAAATATAATATGCTCAGCAGTTCATGTTTTAATGTTAATACGATTATTATTTTAAAATAATTTCCGTTAGTGTGTCGGTTTTATATGATATTTCAATTATTAAGAGAGCTACAAGTATAAGATATTGCAATTTATAAGTGCTTATAACTGGATTAAACATTGAAGTATTGTAAAGATGGAAATTCAAACACATATTATAATGTTCTTACTTATAAGTTTGATGATAGAGGTCAATTCACACTAATATTAAAACTAATACCTATAGCTACAAAGCTAAAGGTAAACTTGAAACACACATGTAACATGGGGACAAAAAATGTGGGTATGGTAACCTCACAACTTAACATTTATTAATTTATTACTATTATTTTATCAAGATTATTACCGAATACAATTGATGGTCTTTATTAACAACAAACGTGTCTTGAGAGATGATGTTTTTAATCATAGAATCTGCATCAACACACTAAAAATAATAATGATATTAGTGTTTTTTTATTTATAATAGGTACCTGAACACTAGAATTTTGGTGGCCTGACATAACACATATTAATCAATCATTGTTCTTTTTATAATTGGATAAATATAAGCTACTAACAGTTACAAAAGTTCAAATATAAATTTGTAAACAATTTATGCATAACCATTATGTTATTATGGTTAGAAAGTGTCATCACAGACTTACTCTTTCATTGGCATTTTTTTTACTCGAAGAAGAAAAGCTCTTTGCATCGTGAAATTTATCCATTCAGAAAGATATTGTTTAAAATTGAACAATATAAAATTAGAATTTAGCAAGGCTTTAAAAAATCAAAAATTATGAAAAAGAGTAACTTAGTAAGTTGTTTTTCAATCTTTCAACGAGATACAAAATTGAAAATACTTGATTAGTTTATCACTAAATAATAATATAATGTTATTATATATTATTATTTTTATAGTAATGACTAATTATTATTTAGTAATTTAACATAAAAATTTAAAAGAAATAAGAAATATTTATTTTAATATCGTCGATCACAGATTTCTAGAAATCTAAATTCTAAACACAAACTTAACACATACACAACTACTGTCTACTGATAACTTACTGATACATATCATGAATCATGATAAATTAATGTCAGTGTTACTGAATACAGACCATGGTAGCACGGGCAGCATATGATCATATTTCATCTATTCTGTGATATGATACGGACGCGAGTGATGACAGTCTGCAGACCACGGTTACCTACACACCTACCTGGTTGTCAACGAGTACGAGTTAATAACCATYGTATTTACTAGACCCAGTTATAAAAAATTGCTAAAAAACATTCTATAGCTTTATATCGGTCAATCGTTTATGGCTAGACCCTAGACCACGACTTTAGAAAATCTTCATCTTCTAAAACCATATCCTAGACACCTATTAGATTAAACTAGAAATATATCACTAAATTAAATGGTAAATCATATTCAGAGTTAATCATCAAGCGTGCTCACCCACTTTTTTACTCGAATAATGATGTATAGTGTTACCTATTCATAATAATATGATATTTGGAATCTTTAATTATATTCCTWTAACCTAACCATATTTTCAAATTCTTGGGAATTTTCTATGTCACAGAAGGAATGTATACTAGGGATAGCATTTAACTAACAATAAAACTATTACTAATACCTATTTTTGATACATTATTAATTATATTTAGCTAATTGAATTTTGCAGTCAAAATATGAACTTAAAATATTCAGGTAGAAAAAATGTTTTCCTATGTCGGAATCTTTAATATATTTCAACTACTATTATAACAATTAATGAGGGACATTGCAATTTGCATTAAATTTTCAAGTCTTTTGACCCAATGGAAAAATATTTATAGAAATTAATAGGGAAAAAAAACTTGAAAATATTGAAAATAATAAAATAATTTATCATATATTACAGAATAAACGTTTGGAAAAATTTCAAGCAACTACAGTTTTTCGTTTATTAATTACAACATAATGAAAAATTCGCTTCATGAGAAATCGTAAGTTTACTGGTGAATATCTAATGTCGATAAATTTTGTAGGTACCTACTTTTAATGCTCTTAAAAAATAAATACGGCTTTCGGTAATATTGCTAGAGGAGTGTACGTGCTTTTTCCCACTCTACCGAATTACAAAGGCACAACCAATGGAACTCACGAAAGAATATACGTGTAAACGTGTTACGTGCCTACTTACGTCCTTTTCACTTTTTAAATGATGTCTTATCGACAAAAGCACAAGGGCGGACTGGCCAGGGGGGCTAGGGGGAAATATCCCCCTGGGCCGGTCTAAATTATGAAATTTGGGCCGGTCGTCGAACAATAATAAACTTGTAATATATTTAGTCAATAAAACATTCATATTGTTTACAAAATCACAACTGATATAGTAATAATATAGTAAAATATTTAGGGGCGCTAAGCTGTATTTCTCCCTGGGCCGACAACCTCCCACTGGGAGGCAAGTGGCGTAATTAGGAATTTGTCTTAGGGGGGGATAAACATTTTTTTCCACACAAAATACTTAGATTTTCAAGTACAATATTTCATCAAAAATTCTTAAACTAATATATATGTACACAAAATGTATTAATAAATGTGCTTTAAAATTTTACACAATTTAGTACCTATACAATATTATAATAATTTCTTCAAAATGTAAATTTTGAATATATTAGAATYAAAATTTACTTTTAAATTAAATAATAATTTATAGATTTCTTGATACTATAATTATATTTAATATATTTCGTCGTGATGTCAGCACGATAAAACATATTAAAATTCCACAAGCTTCAAATTAATATAGATATTATAAATATACACATTATATAGGCTCTGGGGGGATATATCCCCCTCATCCCCCCTTAATTATGCCCCTGCCTCCCAGTCCGCCCCTGCAAAAACACAACATAATAATATTAATAAATAACATTATAATTTATAACTGTGTTGTATTTACAACAACATGATATAACAGACCTTAAAGTTTATATATATTATAATATATTTTTACGTTGATCGTTTCTCGAAAAGTCAAAACTTATTAATATAGGACATAGGACATATATTACGATCTACAAAAGTTTAATATAAAATTGTTAGGTCGTTACGTCGGCTAGTAGTTGGTATTACATAGTCGGTTACTGGTTAGTAGGGCACCTATATAGTTTATATACCTATACTAGGCTGCTTAGCTGCTAGATGATGATCGTCTACTAAAATAATCATAAAATCTAGTCTGTTCAGTTATTATGACTTATGATAGGTACTATTATAATATTATTAGGCATAATAGGTATAAGTAAGTACTTAAAAACCGTTTACCTACCACCGTTTTCAACCCCGATATAGCAATGGCAGGGCCACATTTAAATTGAAACAACTAAATAAATTATAATATACTTATAACTATCAACGATCAAGAATAATTAATATACCTTCGAGATTGTTAACTACCTATCGTCCTATTTAACTATATAAATTAAAATCCTTTTAACAAATTTGTTATGATTCAGTAGAAATGAGTTATTAAGTTTTTTATAATAATACAGCGTATTTTGTTATTGCGTGGTTACTATAAAAGTACAGAATTATAAACTATAGTTAGCCAGTTAGCGATCTCGAACCACTAGGTAGGTATATTTGTGAATGATACCAATGCGATTAACATTATTTCTTTCACTATACCTACTCGGTTCTGTTATTTATTATTATTTTTGTTTTATATGAATTTAATTATGACTAACAAATTTTGAGAAAATTAAGTTTTGATATTTGTGTAACTCTAAAACAAATTACCATAGACGCATGAAATTTTCAATCGTTTTAGTTTTTTTTTTTTATATATAAATGACAGTAATATTTTATTCTTTTGGTAAAAAAGGTTTAAAATTTAATACAAGGCTCCTAATATATTATTACAACGACAGTTAAAAAATATTAAAAATACATAGTTTAAATTTTTTTTTAGTAAGCATTTAAAGTTCAAATTTTAACAAAATACGTGAAATTCACCAAAATTTGCAATTTATTTTGAATTATAAATTCATAAAAGTTATCTTTTTAAATCTTAGATTTGAAAATTCAATACAAGATTCTTCATGAGTTTGTCTACTTTTATCAAATAAAAAATGTCTTCTGAAAATCAAATTAAATTTTTATGAGCATTTAAATTACAACAATTCACTCCATTTCTTTTGTACCAATATTCTTATTTTGTGGTTATTCTAAAACGAATAATTGTAGAAACTTGAAATTTTCAAAAAATGTTTATTTTATCAATTCCTATACTTGATAACTTTTCCATAATATTTTGAATTTTTTAAAGTAATTTAGACATTTGAAATTTTCCGATTTATTTAATTTTTTATTCTAAAAAATTCATTACAATGTTATTCATTGGATCAAAAGACTTGAAAATTTATTATAAAGTTCCCCATAATAATATTATATAAAAACAGTTGGAAAATATTAAAAATACATATTAGGCACGTTTTTTTTAAAAATAATTTAGAGATCAACTTTTTACAAAATGTATTAATTTAAAATTTATAAATTCTTTGGTTGTTAAAATTTTTTAAAACGTTTAACTTTTAAAACTAAGGATAGAAAATTAAAATCAAAGTCCATGAAATAATGTTGATTCTGGGGCAAAAAAATCTAAAAACTATACAAACACAGTTTTTTTTTTATAGTTATTTTAAGTTCAAATTTGGATGAAATTACCTATTAAATAGTCAAAAATAACAATTTTAGGTAAACTATTGTAATTAAAAAATATTATTCGGGGGTACTTTAAATAGTATATACCTACTATGAATGAATGCATAATTTAGAATTTTGTCAAGTGGGAGATGTAGTATGTACGTTAGCAATAAACATTTAATTTTCTAAATAGATGGTTCACTTACCATCAACATCACGGGCGTAGCCATTTTCCTTCAAAAACAAGATACCCTTTTCCTCCAATTATATGTCCATTTTCCGCCAAAAATTAAAAAAATAATTCTTGATCATTTTCCTCCACCTTCTAYTTTTCTTCAATAAATAAAATAATAAAATAGTTAATACAAATAACTTATGTATAGCCAAAACAAAATGTATTTGTCAGGTGTTATATTTAATACAAATAAAATAGTTTGTCTCATGCAATGGTGTTATCATATAATAATTGTTGAAAACTAATATACAATATGTTTATTAACATCATATTGGGTGATTCTTTTATCAAACAACACTCATTATTTAAAAAAGTATTGACTTTTTTCAAAATATTTTTTTACATAGTTTCAAGTTGTTAAAAAATTACATTTTTATTAAAAATTATATTTTTGAATATTTTTTATCCCTATAATTTTTTAAGTTTTTACTTATTTGAATGACAACAAAGAAKTTAATTTCATATTCCAAAGMAGAATATTTTTCGACTTTTTTAGTTTTTTTTTCTGTAAATATCGATAAAAATGTATTTGTTGGGTAGAAAAGCTTGAAAATGTATAAAAGGCTTCTTACACATTTTTACAATACTGGTTGAAAAATATCAAAAATACATAAGCACTATTTTTTTTTATAAGCGTTTAAAGTTCAAATTTTAACTAAATTTTTTTCTAGTTGGTACTTTGGGTAGTTAAAAGTAAAAAATTCTAAATAATCGGGATAAACAAACTAAAAATTAAGGGAAAAACAGGAAATTTTACATACAATCAGTTTTCGACAAAATCGATTTTG